GAGATTAAGATAATTTGTTAATTAATAGTGCTGTCAACTTGGATGTTACTTTTCTTGTGTTTAACTATTTTGTGTTACAATATAAATGTAAGGAGGCATGTTAATTATTGTACATTTATATTGTTAATTATTGTACAGCTATATCTGGCAACACTGGCAAAAGTGTTCTGTCGTCTGAGGTTCGTCAATTTGAAATGTTGTAAATAAGTTCCGCTAGTCAGTAAAGTTAAGTAATAAAAGAACAAAAGAAAACGAAAGGTAATGCTTCATTTTTTGTCTTAACAAACATATTTAGATTTTTTTACAACTATGGTGAGAAAAGTTTAAAATGTACAACAACCCTGTTGCATCCTTTGAGGTATACTAGTGATGCAACAAAAGAAGCATTTGACATTGACCAATATCAGCACCCTCGAAATTTGGCATGCATGCATGCATGCACTGCACACCTACCAGGACCATTTCTGATTCCATCCATTAGCTAACTTATGGATACAAATTCACCGAGTTCAGCGTTAATAAAGTTTCTTTAGTATTAACACAAGTACTTTCGACGAATGTATAATCGTCGTCTTCAGGTGAAAAGAACAAATTTTAACAAGACAAACGTGCAGGATGTTCCAAAGAAACAAAATATTTAAATTCAAACAGGCGTCCGGAAATTTCGTTAAGAATGTGCAAATAATTTTTGATATGTTCAAATTTTTATATTTTACGATGTTAGCGGCGCATGCGTGGAAATGCTACCGCGTTGGCGATACAATGTTAGGCGCGTTTCGCTTTTTAGGCGCCAATATAAGGCAATCCACACCCCGGGTAGATCGAGGGTGGGAACAGTGCACGCTTCTGAAGTAGCCGTGAGAAACGCTTCCCAGATAAACACAAGCCTTCGATTGTTGCAGCATTTAATTATTTCTGTTCTGGGCCATAACAGGTTGTAGCCTTGCTTGAGAACTTTTTTAGTGAGCTCAGTAGAACATCTTCCTTTGGCTACGTCAAGTAAAGTAAAAGATGCCCTATACCCATGTACCACATGTACGCTGTACAGAAAGGAAAAAGCATCCGTGATCCAATCATCATTGCCGTATCTTGGACCAATCTCTTCACGCATCAGCCGCATATTTCGACGACATAATTTCATACTACCCATAACTCCCCTACCAAACCTGTGCAGATGTATCTGCAACGACCGGGACAGGCTAACCACTTTAGAAAAGTCAGGGATTTACAAGATACACCTAGAAAATCTGGTAACGGGAAATATTACAAGATACATAGGAGCAACAACAAGAATGCTTGCCTCCCGCCTTGCTGAGCATCAGGATGATGTAGCCAAAGGAAGATGTTCTACTGAGCTCGCTAAAAAAGTTCTCGAGCAAGGCTACAACCCGTTATGGCCCAGAACGGAAATAATTAAATGCTGCAACAATTGAAGGCTTGTGTTTATCTGGGAAGAGCTTCTCACGGCTACTTCAGAAGCGTGCAATGTTCCCACCCTCGATCTACCCGGGGTGTGGATTGCCTTATATCGGCGCCTAAAAAGCGAAACACGCCTAACATCGTATCGCCAACGCGGTAGCATTTCCAAGCATGCGCCGCTAACATCATAAAATATAAAAATTCAAACATATCAAAAATTATTTGCACATTCTTAACGAAATTTCCGGACGCCTGTTTGAATTTAAATATTTTGTTTCTTTGGAACATCCTGCACGTTTGTCTTGTTAAAATTTGTTCTTTTCACCTGAAGATGACGATTATACATTCGTCGAAAGTGATTGTGTTAATACTAAAGAAACTTTATTAACGCTGAACTCAGTGAATTTGTATCTATAAGTTATACAAACATTGGCGTGAGTTTTTAAATTTATTTTTATCCATTAGCTATTCGTAGGGAGCTATTTGACTAACTTGTAAGTGGATTGTTTTAAGATTTAGAAAGTAAAGAATATTTTATGTTATTTTTATGTACTTTTCTTTACAAAGCTATATTTAATTATAATTTTCTTTAAAAGTATATTCATAAAATTGAAGAATATTTTGTATCAGTTATGTATCCACAACACACATTTTATTTCACCAAGTAAGTTTTTATAGTTTTATTTATAATTTTAGCCCATATATCGTGGCTAGCAATTCAGAATATAATTATGATATTAAAAATACATTTAGAGAAGTCTACAGTTTTTACTGGCTTATCGAACAAATGAATACAAATGGACCCTAGACCATTACTGGTGCTCAATTAACTGATTGCTCCTGGAAGTTAGCTTCTTACAGAAACACAGCTTCCCTATCATCAAATGTCACAGCACACCACTGTGGTACTGTATACTGTTTGCTATCATTGAAAATCTTGATATCAATGGCTGTTACAGATCCACTGGCTTGGGACATCCTAGCATAGTTTGCTTACATTTTTCTCTAGTTATGGCATTCAAATGTAGTACAAGTGTCAATAATAGTGTAAAACATAAACACAAGACAGTATTAATGCAGGAAGAGGTTGAATTGTTTAAAAAACTCAACTACAGTGTTTAGGTGCAGAAACTATGTAAAATGTATAGTATCAGTACATACATCCATACAATTAATATAGCTATACCTGTTTCATTTCTGCTAATAAACTGTACTATTTATATAATTTAATCTTTAATTCACATTTAATAGTTGTTTAAGTTTCTATCAATCCATAATGCTGTAGAGATACAGGACTCATGATTAGTAAGTCAAAGGTGTATTACTGAATTTAATAGACTAAAACAACTAAAACACCTTATTAAACTTCTAATTTACAAGAAAAATATGTTACACTCTTTAGATCAAATGAGACTACTTTTTTCATCGAACACTTCCTGCATTCTCACTATATGTCTGCTAACATTATGGACTCATTATCTTGACAACTTCCAATTTTTTTAACTAAATTACATCATACAATTAAAAAAACTAACTGAAAATAAAATGAAACTCACATGTACACATGCACAAAATGTAATTAGTAAACACTTAAATATTATATAGGGTGTATTTTTTATCTTGAGACAATGAAATATCTTAATTGGATCTCATTATTTTGGAAAAAGGCATAGACAAAAGTTGTAGTGTGTCGAGGGGACAATCAATTGGTGACCTCAAATGTGAGCTTGACCTTCAAGGTCATTTGGAGGTCAAGTCTGTTTTTTTCAATGGGAACACATATTTTTGACCCCGGAAATCAAAAGAGCAGGAAATTTTACATTCGGATATACTTTTGATCTTAAGGTGTAGGTCAAAGGTCAAGATTATTTTAAGGTCCAATCAAAAACATTTGAATTATATATGATCCTTTAAATATTTTGTGGCTATATATCTGAACTTTTCTCATACAAAAATAAATCTAGCAATGAGTTGCATAACTCTCCTAGCTGTTATGAGTTTTTATTAAAAAGAAAACTTTACATTATTAAGCAAAAATATAAAATTGTGTTTGGTGCCAAATATTATCAGATTTTGTTATAAAAATTTTTATATTTTTAATTATTATAAAATGGCAAAATAGCATAATTTTGAGAGTAAGGATGAGTTTTATGAAAAAGTGTAAATATTAATGAAGATTTTATTTGTTATTAAATCCTACCCCTTCTTATATCTCCCCACCATCTTGATCTTTTACCACCAAAAATTAATAGCATCAATGCTCCTTACAGGCAAGCCACCATGCCAAATTTCATTTCTCTACCCCATCCTGAAATATTAAATGAAATAGGCACTAACACACACACACACATCCATGGAATTTTTTTTTTTTTTTTTTTTTTGTTTATTCAGCAGGTCTTAAAATTTGAAGATCTGAAAAAACTCAGATGGTCAAATTTGACATGATTTCAGTACTTTCCCTTCATTGGTAATTCTAATGCCAGAAACACTGGTTTATACATTGAATCATTTATATTTCTATGTTATTTTACAACTTGTTTAAATTATAATGATTGCATGTTAAGGTGGACAAGTAGCCTCTAAATGAAGGTTGACTGTGCCATTATTTTCTGAGGTGTGAGAAAGGACAAAAGAAGACTTTTTAGTGCATAATCTTTTATTTATTTGTGATCCTAAGTATGTCTTTTAACAAGAACAAAAACATTAGTATCATTAAAGTTTCATTGCTGAATATAAGGTTTTTTTCTTTTTGTTGTTTGTCAAATAAGTGTCATTATTCATACAACATTACAATCAAATAAATATAAACATGTTGTTTTTGAAACTGTGTTTGATAAATATATTGGACTTTGAACTCAAATGTGAGTTTTAAATGAACACTTGGCTTTATTTCCATCACTTTTTAGTTTTTAACTAAAAAGTGATGGAAATAAAGCCAAGTGTTCATTTAAAACTCACATTTGAGTTCAAAGTTCAAATATAAACATCTCAACAACACCCGATACATTGCAATAACCCACCTTCGATTGCCATATAACATTGGGCTATAATTTGGTAATAAATAAATATCCACATGATAATTGGCAGTTGTGGGTTTGAGTCCCGCTCCGGGCCGATTCTTTTCTTCCAGGTTAATCTAAAATTATTTAATTAAATTATAATTATTAAATTTAATACAAGATGGCACCTAATGCCTCCCTGTAGTGTCAAATTCATTAGTAATTTATAATTATTATTACCAAATTATAGCCTGGTGTTATATAGCAATTGAAGATGGGTTAATCTAATAAATATCAAATCTTATAATAAACTGAAATTTTAATATGCTTTATGTACATTTAAAAACAAAAAATTTATTCCTAAACCTATTATAGCATAAGTATTATAATTAAAGCTATTATAGCATAATACAAAAGCTTAATGAAAAATCAGTCCTTTAAAATTTATTTTATTAAAATTATTAATAGAAAAATTTCTACTGCATCAGTATATATTTGTATTAATTTTATATCTAGTTTCAGTAAGCTGAATTTGATAGTAACTGTATATTATGCATTAAGATTTTTGTTTTTACATTTTAGTTCCATCTTCAAAATATTTTTCTAGAGGTATTATATCTGTAAATTCTCAGAAACAAGGTGTATTTCAGCAAGATGGTGTACTATCACTTGGCGAAATTCAACAATTGAAAGTAAGTGAACTTATTAATATAGAAATCTTTTGAACAGTAAATCTTGATTTATGCAAGATTGTTATATGTGGATTCATATTTTTATGGATGGCAAATGCTTTGCTTAACCCACTCTTAATACCACTGAGTCTAACTCTTAAGTCAGCAAATCATGTTTCTTTAGTTTTTGATATTCCAAACATAGAGAATTATTGAATGTTACACAGTATGGTGAATATCTCAGTTTGCATGTATTTTTTTCAAGTATTGTACTTGATACAGTGTATAACTTAAATAAATTTTACTTTTCATATTCACAACGTCAGACTAAAATATTATTTATTAAAGTAAAAACATAAGTAAAATTTGTAAACACATTTTAATGTTTTTGTGTTAAGTTGTGTAAGTAAGTGTCTAGGTAATCATCTGAAACTATTTGATGTGGAATACTAATTTACATGAAATTACATTGTGTGTGTTAATGCTGACTTATTAATGTTAAACTTTCGCATATCAAGATTCTTTCAAGAAATAATAGAAAAAGATCAACAAGTAGGTAAAATATTTTGATTTAGATCATTATTAGGATTAGTAGTAGAAGTATTATTCATATACCATTAAATTACATTAGCACATATTGGTTCTGAATGCAATAATATTTCATCTGTGAAAAAAGCAAAGATAGATAAAATTGTCTTTAAAAAATGAATTACTAAAAATTGCAATTTATATATTATAAATATGTTTATGATTGGCCATCAGTAAATCATGAAATTATATTTTTTTAAAATCAAGCTATATATCTGAACTTTTCTCATACAAAAATAAATCTAGNCTATTATATTTTTTTAAAATCAAGTATAATACAAATGTACTATATTAATAATAAATTTTGAAAATGGATTTTATAAACAAATTAGTCAAATGTCAGCAAATATTAAATTTTAGATAACATTGTATAATCACAATTTTCTGAGAATTTAAAAAAAAAAATTATTATCAATAAAAACATTTCAACAATGAATACAAATTTTATTTTTAGTTGGGCTTTTATAAGTCATAACATACCCTAGAAATGCACTCAATTCACATAAAGTGTTGAAGTTTAGATTTTTCTCTCTTGGACTTTCATTGGCTGCAATTTTAAAAACTTGTAGACCTATAAATTCCTACTATTGTCCATCTGTCTGTTATTCCTTAATCTCAAGAATGGAGTTAGATACATGAAAGTCAAGACCAAATATGGAAAGCTTAGGGCAGGAGACCCCAATTAACTCTGTATGAACTTTCGATGCAAGTCCCATTATTTCAATTCAAAATTTTCTCCTGTAAGCAGTTAGATAGGTGACTGGCACAACTCCATTGCTAAGAGAAAAGTGAGGTAAAAGGGCAAGACACTACAATATTACTATTACTACTTGAGGTGGAAAGCATATGCTTTGAATTAAATAAATTAAAAATATGATTAAAAATTGTAGCCAGGCATTGTGACGATGTCACAATAAATGATTGCTTGTTGAATTTAGTATTCATTTTAGTTCTTCAGTATTCAAATAATTCAGTATATACTATTTAAATACTGAAAACATTTTAACAATTATTTATTTACATTAACAAAACAGAATTTAATTTAACTTTTTTATTAATAAATGATTTAAATGTTAAAAAACTTATTTGACATTAGTAATTTAGTATCTGAAATCCTTTAATATTTTCTTTTATACGAATATAAACTAAACATGAAATTTGAAATCTCATTAATCATCTGTGATTATGTACAGAAATAAAATTTGTAAAAATCATCTCACTTAACTATGTAATAAATTATCTTATAATGACTTTCTAAAATGCAAATGTTAGATCATTAGACTCATTAGTGTGACCATTAATGATCTTATGCCAATATACATCAAATTAAGACTGCACTAAATGATAGTACCATTATCTTGTTCCCTTTTCATACGTTGCTTGAAGGAAGCAGTGGCAACAATTAGTTTTTAATGGAAATAAGTCAGTAATGTCAATTTCAAAGTTGTAAAGAATGACATAATAAGCAATTTTAGCTTAAAAACATAGTATGGATTCACCCCAACACACTTACTTGAGAGAAAAAGAATAAGTCAACAGAAAACAGCGTTAAAGGGCTTTTTTAATGTCATTTCAGTTGCCTGATGATGATATTTATATGAATATTGAAAGCGCTAGCAAAGGAATTTAAAAAAGCCCACTAATGTTGTTTTCTGTTGACTTATTCTTTTTCTCTCAAGCAATTTTAGCTTTGTTGTATTCCAAATAACAAATGCAATTCTGGAACAAGTTTTCAAAAGAAACTCTTCAAAGAAAAATGATATCAAAAATATAAAGGAAATACAAAAAAATTCCTGAGGTGTATGCAAATCAGGGCTGGGACAAGGATGAGATGAGCAAGGCACTAACTTCATGTAAACAACTAGGAGGTGCACTAACTATCAATAAAAATAAAGATATTAATTAAAAATTTTATACAAACAAAAGAAAATCTGGTAGTGGTTTAGCTGACAAAATTGTTTATAGATGAAAAAAGGATGATCTTGATACTTGGTTTGGTGGGAATGGCAATATAATACATGGGTAATCATTCAAGGGAAATGTTGCCAAGAGAGTTTCTATGAGAATCTGTCCCTTATTTTTGTGTTAGACACACAAAGAAAAAGCTGGAAAATGCCACATAGCCAGTCTATTGGTCAGACACAAACTTGCAATCCACTACCAGTCTTCAGTGACCTGTTTATCCACTAAGCCACTGGTGGGCCCTAGACATTGAAAATATTTGCAGCCAACGATATGATAATGGGACAAATATGGCAGGAGTATAAAAGAGTGTGTATAAGCCATTATTTGCCAAAAAAATAATTAAGCCAAATACATTTTTTTGTTTGGTTCAGTCTTAATTTGATATGTAAAAATGCCACTTCTACAAATTCAAGTTTGGTAATTTGGAATTGTACAGTAAATTTAGTAAGTAGATGGGGGCACTTATGTCCATTTTAAAAAACATTAAAAGGACAAGTGATGGGTATCAACAGATAACAGAAGTGTATCAGTTATTTAAAAATATAACATAAAGTAATAAATCATTGCAGTTTGTTGAAATTAACAGTATTTTGAAACAAATCAGCGAAACTTTTAAAGTTCGCTGTCTCTGTTATGGTTTTCGTGCTTGATTTTAAGCACAACCTCCCACCTGAAAATTTCTTTCTTGATCTCACTCAGGCCCTCTAATGCCTGCTCAATATCCGGCATGAGTTTGTCATAACTATAGGTAGTGGGGTGTATTTAGGGCCGTATTTACATGCCTCCTTCACATAAGTAGGCAGGTTGCTGCTGTCCAAGCATATAACTGTAGGTCTGATCATCGTTTTATAGCGAGTTTCTTGGTGCTTTCTGATCCATGTCATTTTGTTCCTATTTCTCTTTAATCTTTTTGTCACTTGTGTAGCTAGGCTTATGACTCGTTTGCTAGCTTCTTTTAAAGCATGACAGTCGAGGTCATATAGTTCATTTTCTAGCTCAATTAGCTCTTTCATCAGGAAAAACTTTCTCCTTCTTATGTTGTGGATAGCTTTTCGTAAGCAGATGGTTCTAAGTTTAGGGATTAGTGAGATGCATCCGTGCAGTAAACGTATTCAGCAAATTGACATTGGGAAGACATTGCACGTTCTGCATTCTGTCAAAAACTCAAGTTTCATGTCATTTCTGCAGATCTTCAGTACTATGATTCTGTATTTTTTGACTGGCGTTGCCAAATTGCAATTTATCCGAGACTGCATATTACTCAATAAATAATAAATAATGGTCCATAAAACAAAGACAAGTGTAAATAACAAAATGAATTTATTATCAAAAGTTAGATACAAACATGGTTACTTTTCAGCATAATTACCATGAAGATTGAGGCATTTGTCATATCTATGGATGAGCTTTGCAATCCCTTCTTCATAGAATGTTGCTGCCAGTGACTTGAGATGGGCCTTAACGTTGTTTTGAAGATCATCATTAGTCTCAAACCTCTACCGTCCTAGCCACGTTTTCAGTTCAGGGAAGAGGTGGAAGTATTCTCACATTAAAGGTGTGTGACAACTTCCACCCCAGCTTGGAACTTTTTAAACACCCAATGTATAGCCTTGATTTAGCGTTGAGTGACTTTCACCTCTTTTCTGAACTGATAACGTGGCTAAGAAGGCAGAGGTTCAAGACTAATGATGATCTTCAAAACAACATTAAGGCCCATCTCAAGTCACTGATGGCAACATTCTATGAAGAGGGGATTGCAAAGCTCATCCACAGATATGACAAATGCCTCAATCTTCACGGTGATTATGTTGAAAAGTAATCATGTTTGTACCTAACTTNAATTAAATTATATATTATTTGTGTAGAATTTGTGTTAAATTTATTATCCTTTCCTCTTTATTCTGATGTTAGTTATCTTGGTTAACCACGTCAAACTTTCCACCATTAAAACACCACGTGATTGTATTTTCTCACGTGACTACTGGACAAACTGTTATTGGCTGATAGAAATGAGTCTTGGCGGCGATTGCTGCAAAAGATAAAATTCAACCAACTTTTGTGACACGAGAAAAGCGGCACAAAATTGACTTCTGTGGCGAGAAAAAGTGACATCATCCTGCCACTTTTCCTTGCTGTGCCACATGTGTGCATCCAGCTTTAAGAAAAGATGCAGGTCATCGTGACCTGCATCTTCTCTTAAGAGCTAAGTCTAATTTAAAAATTCTAGCAATGAGTTGCATAACTCTTAAGACATATTAAGCACAAAATTTAAATTCTCTACGGCACCATCTATTATGAGCTTTTGTTTAAAAATATATTACATAGTGCTGCTAGACAAAAATATAAGGTCATAATAAATTAATATTTCTGTGAGTAATAAAAAAAAATACATGATAAAAGTAATACAAACACAATTTTCAACATTAACTGCCTTTAATACCAAAAAGAAAACACTCATACAAGTACGGTAGAACCTCGATTATCCGGATTGTTCAAAATAAACAAAAATTTTACAA